CTTGCACATGGAAATTTTGAATAAAATTAAAGGGCTTGTATCCTCATTTCATTTCTTGAATTTCTATTCAGTGTACGTTATGACAAATAATGAATATAAATTTATCTTAGTTATATCCAGGTTATATCCATCGATCCTCTTTAACCAAAATAAAGGTGTTCTTGCTCCTAAGTACTAGGTGCATGAGAAGCATTACTTTCAATTGTAGTTTACTTAATTCTCTTGCAATACCGGTAGCTTATATATTTTTCACTTGCCTATCATCAAATACAGGTATCATTTTAATGTTCAAAATGTGACCTTTTAAATGTGTTGTTTTAGTTCTACTTAAATTCTTCCAGTTTTATCTTCTTTTATTATTTTTCCATGACATTGTTGTTTCAATGTTTCTAGATATGTATACATATGTCATTCAATGCCCTTGCAAGGTGTTTGTTTGAAATACTTAAAACAACTTCATAAGTTGGAAAATATAAAGCAAATAACAGGGCAAAAAGCAAACGTTGTTGTGTATAGTTGTTAGGTTTGGGCCAGACGTTAAGAAGTTTGAGGCGTGCGAATTTCTGTCCATTTTACGATAATTCTTAACACCCCTAAAGATCCACTGGACGCTTAACAGGAGTGAAAAACATATACAGAAAGGTTTTTACAACTATTAAATGTTGCACATTTGCGATATATAACTAATAACACATGAACATGACCTTTTTGAGCCCTTTACAGTCACCATTTAAAGTCGTTAACGTCCTGTATACGACTTAACAAAGCCTGCAAACATTGCGTTAATAGTCTCCGTATTCTTTTCAATGCGTAAAGTCGTACTTTACGTTAGTGGAAAGAACTACGTAAAAATGTGTTAAGAGGATTTTAACGATTTCTTTCGGAGTCTTTTCGGACTCGTAAATTTAAGATTTCGTCCTGTGATATCCGAAATTCTCCGCATCTTTACCATCGAGCCAAGGTTCGCGCCTTAAATTATGTTTATTGCCTTAAATTCTGTATGTCCCTCTCGAACGAGGTGATTTTGGTGGATGGAATCAAGGCTCAATTTCGTAACCAACTCTCCTGGTGGAAATTTAGAGTAAGAAGGAAGTGAGATGTGGGATTGTTATTTTGAACAGGACGAGGGAATTGACGATACCTCGCGCTGTTGTCTTCACTACCACCCCTTGCTGATAGCTTGACATTCTGAGCCTTGCCGTGTCATGTAATAGTGACCTCTGATTTCTTGATGACTGACCAATGTATTAATGGGTAAAGGAAAATAGCACATACGTGGCTCTGTAAGGAAGATGTCAGCTGCTTTCGAAAGCGATAAATCAAATGAAGTCGACATAAAAGAGCCTAAGTTGTGTTGCTTTCTTTTACGAGAAAGGGAAAAAGTAGAAGTTGCTTTCTTTAGAAAAAAAATTGGGGGCTCATCCTCCCCGAAATGTGCCTCTCAAGGAAACAGAAGAATTGTGTTCAGTTAATTTTTCTTTATCTCTCTTGTTATGGAACTATGGGATTGCCGTCACCTTTTCTTCCATTATGCACTAACAGCTTATTGACATTGTCATTCGTTTCTGACTTGTCTTTACTGATACGTTTTTCTGTGATCGAGGTTAAACGAAAGGAAGTCGCTACTGTGACTAGCGTGCATTATTTATACCAAACTTTGAAAACTTCTGAGATATGATATATTACCATTTTGGTCGACATTTTGGCCAATACAGTAGACTGTGGTGTCATCGGCATACATGTAAAGATCCTCTGAATCAGTGTGGTCGGGGAGATCATTAACATATATAGTGTATAACCTAGGGCCGAGAAGCGAGCCTTGAGGTACCCCACAGTGCACAAGGTCAGTGGTAGACCTGTAGTTGTTTACCCCAGTAAACTGTCGTCTATTTGATAAATAGCTCATAAGCCATTCATGGATTGATCCTGATATACCAATGGCATGTAACTTATAAGATAATATGTCATGGGGAACAGTGTCAAAAGCTTTTTGGAAGTCAATAAAGACCGCTCCCACTGTCCAACCATTGTCAATTGCCATCTTCCACTTCTCAGTCCTTGAAATGAGCATTACATCAGTTGAGAGGCCTTTCGTAAATCCCCATTGTTTACAGCTTTTTGTGCCACAGCTGTTCAGATGATTGTCAATTAGGTTGCAAATCTGACTTTCAAGGAGTTTGCTGGGAATACTAAGTAGTGAGATTGGTCTATAATTAGAAACATCTGCTTGACTTCCCTTTTTATGAATTGCATGAACTTTGGCTAACTTCCAGGGGTCAGGAAAACTGGACGAAGCCATACTGTAATAAAATACCATTAACAAGCCGTCTAAAGCAGATGATCCCGCAACAGCTAAACTACGAGACGAAATAC